TAGAACATCAAATTATTGAGCGATCAACCATTTTATAATCAATCTACCATGAATCATACGAGCCTAACATCTGCGTTTTATATAGAAATAGAAAGGGAAAGTATAAATTTCCCATTCCGATCCCATACAAAAACGAAAAATAGTTATTAGAAATATCCAACAAATGTAACAAAAATAAAAATATACTTGGCGACTTTTATTACACCTTGTTTTTGCAATAGGTCTAAGATGCATCCTCGTGCACTTATTTTAGATGCAACATCAACCCACAAGCCCAATTTCAAACGTGCCCCATTAAAAAAGCCCCAAACCAAAATGAGCCCACCCAAAAACTGAACATATGTTTAAATTACAGCCCACTCAACCATCACTTTCAACGGCTATTATTTTTTTTTTTTAAAAAAAAACGTCACTCTTAAATTTAAATTTCTGAAATTTATTATTCATTTATTTGATTTTCTCCCTCTAACAATCAAACACAATTCACTCTCTTCAAAACAACCATGAATATTTGAGATGAGATGAAAAAAAACAAGTTCTCCCTTAAAAATGCAATTTAATGTAAATTTTACTTAATTTTGTTTGAATTTATATGTTTATCACTTAATTTTAAATTTTACTTAATTTTGTTTGGATATTGTTTTTTTTTTTTTTTTTTTTGAAACCTGTTTGGATATTGTTCGATACTCTATTGTTCGAAATATTCTTATGTTCATATTTTGAATACTTATGTTCACTTTTTGAAATACATATGTTCATATTTTTTATGCGTATGTTCACTTTCTTAGATGTTTATGTTCATATTTTGAATCCTTGTAATCTTTCTGAAATGCATATATTCACTTTCTAAATCCATATGTTCATATTTTTTTATGTATATGTTCACTTTCTAAAATGCTTAATTATGTTCATACGCATTAAAAAATGAACCAATGCATATGTCACATTTAATACTTATGATGCATATGTTTCATTAATAATCATATTATTTTTTATTTCTTCAATTTTTATGTTCATAATTAAATGTCTTATATTCATAATAATATTTTATATGTTCATGATGTAAATATTCATAGTTAATATTTGTTGTTCATGAAATATTCTCATTAAATCTGTTTATGCATATGTTCTCTTTCTTAAATACACATGTTTATATTATTTACGCATATATTCACCTTTTAAATGCTTATATTCACTTAAAGGAAACAAATGCTTATGTTCATATTTTGAATTGTTATGTTTACTTTCTGAAATACAAATGTTCATATTTTTTATGCCTATATTCACTTTTTGAAAAGGTAATATTCACATTTAAGGGAACCAATGCATATGTTCATATTTTGCATGATTATGTTCATTGATAAAAAAAATGTAGAAAATCAGATGAAATTAATTAGCTCATAAGAAATCGAAATTTATACATAATACATCAAATTGATCGAACATAACCAAAAATCAGATGAAATTGAATAACTGATCAATCGAAACTAATCGAAGCTAACCTAAAATCATACAAAACACAATTACAACTGAAACTAACAAAAAAAATAATTAGAAATCACAAAATTAAGCAACTAACCTGCATTGACGATGTCTTCGTCGAGAACAACCAATTCCATATTTATCCAATCGAAACAGATGCAATCGCAAAATAGAGGATAATTTTTCCAAAAAAAACAGAGAAAAAAGAAATTAAAGAAGGAGAAAAAACATAGAATAATTTTTCCAAGAAAAAAAACAGAGAACAAAACTATAGTAATGAAAATTTTTATAGAAAACTTTGATGAGAATTAGGAAATACAAGAGAAGAGAGAGAATTGGAAAAGAAGAAACCAATTTTTTTAAAAAGGAAACTAAGCTGCATTTTGAGCAGTGACATCTACTTCTAGGTGTAGGAGGTTACACCTAAGAATATGTGTTGCTGAACTTGATTGATAGAATTTGGGTGCACGCATAAATTTAAAACCCGAATATCATATAACAATTCTATGATTTCATAAATTTATCATAAATTGTACAAATACGTTTGTGAGAGTTCATATGTCTCTCACTCTCTTTGATAGAACCCCTAGTTTCTATCAATCATTGGTGGAACTCTTTTGATTAGCTCACCTCCTAACCCTTTCACATACAACATATTTATAGTGGTTGTTCGCCACTCTCTAAATCTTTCTACACATGTCTAATATTACATGTATCTAGATTAGAGCTGTCAATTCGGGTAAACGGGTCGGGTTAGTGTGAGTTGGGTCATCTCGGGTCAGGTCAATACGGGCTAATGTCATAACATATGCGGGTCGGGTTCGGGTTGGGTCATGCTTGAGTCGGGTCACGTCGGGTCATACATCTTATCGGGTTTAGGTCATGTTACATTCGAGCCGGGTGAAAAATAGGTCGGGTTAAATTTGGCTCTTTACGATTTTAAACGAGTTAAGGTCGTTCTCGGGTTCGAGTCGGGTTCGGTTCAAGTCAATTATTTACGGGTTATAATTAGGTTGGGTCATTCTCGAGTTCAAGTCGGGTTCGGTTCAAGTAATTAATTTGCGGGTTATAATCAAGTCGGGTCATTTTCAAGTTAGGTCATTTTCGGGTTCGAGTCGGGTTCGGTTCAAGTGAATAATTTGCAGAAAACATGTTTCGTCCATGAGTAAAAACATGTTGTGAAACTAACCTCTTAAAATTCAAAGTGAAATATTAAAGGAATAGAGTTAGGATTCAATTTTCATTCCAATACCAACATGAGATAACGACCTATACATATTGATTTAATAACAAGTCGGGTTGAATTTGAGACAGGTCAATAAACAAGTCGGGTTGATTTGGGCCGGATTTGAAACAGGTCGGGTAGAAATTCGAGTCGGGTTTGTAGCAGGTCGGGTAAAATTCGGGTCGGGTTAGGAACAGGTCGGGTTGAATTCGGGTCATGTTAAGAACAAGTCAGGTTAAATTCGGGTTTTAACGGGTTAAAACAACGGGTTTGGGTCAATTTTGTTTCAGGTCGAGTTCGGTTCAGATCAATAATTTACGGGTTACATTCAGGTCGGGTCGTTTCTAGGTCGGTTAATGTTCCGATTCGGGTCTCAAATACTCGGGTCAACTCGGGTCTATGGTTGGTTTCATGTCGGGTTCGGGTCACCATTTTTTTGGGTTCAGACGGGTCAGTTAATAAGTCGGGTTAGAGTCGATATTTCGAGTCGGGTCAGCTTTTGACAGCTAAGCCCAGACCATCTCTAGCAGACTAGCACGCACATTCCGAAAGAGTAGATGTTAATCAACTCAATGTAACGTAACTTTTCTGTATTAATTACATACTCCGTATACAAAGTATTTTTGAATAAATAAAAAAACATTAAAGTATTTTTGTTACTCTGTAGATTTTCTACACTAAAATAGATGTAATAAGACCATAATTGATTTATTAAGGGCTTGTTTGGAATTATTTTTGGTTTTCAGTTTTCTTTTTTTTTTAAAACTAAAAACCAAAAACAGGAAAAGAGAAAAAGGTGTTTTCACTTTTTTGTTGTCGGTTTTCAAAATTATCATGATTATAAGTCTAAATAATTTTTGATTCATTATGTGACACATATAAATATACTTTTAAAAAATAAAAAACCAAAAAACAGAAAACCACAGCGATGTCAAACGAACCCTTATTAATTAGTATTGTACTTTGTGTATGTTAACAAACCAATAAAATTGGAAAGTAGGTAAATTTATTAGAAAAGATTTTACAACATTGTACACACGAGCTTAAGAAAACATAGCTTCAAATAAGACTCATATCTATAGTACTACAGAAAGAGAAAGGACATCTTGGTCGACTTTTTTAAAAATACCCTTATCCATATCTAAATTTACTATTTCAATTTTTTTTTAATTACCCTCTTTTTTAAAAAACTACCATCCTTTTAAAAAAAACTACCATCTTAATAAAAACTAGATGAAGCCCGTGCGATGCACGGTTTGTTTGATTTTTTTTAAATAATTTTTTTTTTTGTATTTATAAGCCTAAAATTTGTTATATATTTAGATCAAATTCCTAATATTAAAAGATTTTATATAATATTTAATTAATTTAAACTTAAAAATCTCATTCGCCAATTTTGTTTACATGACATTTAAATTATTTAATTATAAAAGAAATTAATAATCTCTTATTTAATTGGCTACTACTAAGATTTATAATCCTACATGGCGCGCTGAGAAAATTAGATCCTACGTGGCTCTCTAAAAACTCGGGAAAAAACTCCCCTTTATATATATATATTAGATTTAAAAAAAAAACATTAACATTTTTTTTCAACAATTTTGTAATCAACTAATATTTTTTTATTAGAGTATGAAATAAATTTTAAAAATCCAACTTGATATAATACTTATATTGTACACGCACGCATCGTGTGCGTCTCTTAGCTTGCCTATCTAATTAAAATAGATTGTCAAAAATCGATTTAAATTGGGAAATTAATTTACTACAGCTGGAAATTTCTTTGCTACAACCGGAAGTTAATAACATTGAATATATATATATATATATATATATATATATATATATATATATATATGTATATGTATCCGGTGAGAATTCATACTTTTTATGTGAGAACACTTTTTATGTTCTAAATTTTTACTCGTATGTTCAAAATTTTAAATTTGATGTTCTAAACTTTTCTCCGAGTGTTCTAAATTAAATAAAATGTTTTAGGAAAAATTGAAAAGAATAATCCCACCTTTCGCCCATCTGCTCAAAATAATCTCACCTTTTCGAATTCTACAAATAATCCCACATTGTAACTCCATCTTCCCAAAATGAACCTTTTTACCTACAACCGTTTCAACAGGTAATTTTTTTTTTGTTTGAATAATAAAACAAAGGCAAAATAATAAAAAAAAAAAGAAAAAGAAAAAAAAACCCAAACACCGTAATCCAGCCCCCACCCCACCATTAGCACCGCCATCACCACCACCATCACCGTAACCCAGCCCCACCCCATCGGCGATAGCTTAACCGCACCTCTGCCCCACTAATACCGGCGAATTGAAACCCTCCTTCCCCTTTCTCCCTCCCCGAAAAACCATCCCAATTTCAAACCCCAGCCTCTTCGAACCACCACGAAGACCACTCGAAAACCAATTTCGAACCCCAGCCTCTTCGAACCACCACGAATACCACCCGAAACCCCATTTAAATTGGCTGATTGAATTGGAGCTTGTGGCTGCATTTTAGGGTTGAATTGATGCTTGTGGTTGCGATTTGTGGGGCTACGACATCACGGTGGCTCGGAGGTTAGGGTAATTGTGGAATTAGTGAAGTGGTGGTTGTTGTGGGATATGTTGGGCGAATTTTGAGGTTGTGCGATGGTTGATTTATGCGGCAACAACTGATTTGGAGGAGGTGCACTGGGGTTGTTTATGTGGCTGGGCGATGTGGCTGGGTGTTGTGGGGTTGTTGAATTTGTTGTGATGGTGGTGATGGTGGTAAGGCGCGACGGTCAGCTGGGTCACTGGTTGTGATGGGGTTTAGGATTTGTTAGGGCTGGCAAAAGCTGACCCGACCCGACAACCCGACCCGAACCCAACCCGAAATAAATGGGTTTTGATAGAGATTTTCAACCCGTTTATGTAATTGGGTCAACCCGAACCCGACCTGAAGTTAAATGGGTCGGGTTCAGGTTGAAAATCCCAACCCGAAACCAACCCGCATAAACCCGTTTATTTAATTGGGTCGGTTTCAGGTCGGGTCAACCCGAACCCAACCCGCTTAACTTAAAACCCTAATTTAAAAATATGGGCCAAGCCCAAATTATCTAACCCTAAGCTTTTCCTCTTTCACTCGCCGCTTTCTTTCAGACTTTCACTCAAACTCTCTCTCTTCTCAGTTTCTCTCTCTTCTCTCCTCTCTTTTCTCTCTCTAACTCTTGAAGATTGAAATAAAAATTCTTGAACCTTGAAGATTGAAGCTTCATCTCAAACATTCTGAAGGTAATAATCCTATTATTCGATTTTTTATGAGTTTGTTTGCTCATGAGTCATTTGTTTATGCAATTTCCTTGATTTGGTTATGCAATTTTCAGATTTCTTTGATTTTTTAAGCGATTTTTTGCTATTATGGTTTATGTATGCTTTGTTTATGTGATTTAATCATTTAATGTTGTTCGTTTGTTATTTTCTTACTCTGCAATTTCTTTCGAAGATTTGATTTGTTATTTACTTATTTTGCGATTATTTGCGATTCGTTTATGCGATTTTTTGCCCTGATTTGATTTTCTTACTCTGCAATTTCATGAGTTTGATTCTTTATGTCATGACTCATGAGTTTATACTTCTGTTTTTCATGTTTATACTTCGGATATGAGTGTAATTCTTTTTTTAATTTATTCACAGATGGCTAATAGCCCTAATCCTGATGAACCCATTGATCTTCCGGATTCTGATTCAGATGATGAAGTTTCTGATTCTCATCAAACGGAATCAAAGAAGAAAACCTCTAATGTCACCTCGCTGAATAAGCCTGGAATTCATTTCAAGCGCCAACGAAAGCTCACTTCAGATGTGTGGGCAAATTTTGAATTCCTTGATAAACCTGACGAACAAGGTAACATCATTTGCATGTGTAAAAAATGTGGGCAGAAATATAATGCTGAAAGTAGGCAAGGAACTGGTAATTTAAAACGCCACATTAAGAAATGTAAAAAAAGGACCTTTAAAGATGTGGGTCAGATGATTATTGATTCAAGCAGTTCTGGTTCTATGATGAAGGGTTCCTACAATTGATTATGATATTGTTCGTGAGATGTTGTCTATTGCTGTGGTGAAACATGATTTGCCTTTTCAGTTTGCTGAATATAGTGCTGTTAGGAAGTTGATTAATTACATAAATCCTGATGTTAAACTTGTGTCTCGAAATACTTTGAAGGCTGATGTTCTGAAAATGTTTAAGAGGGAAAAAGATAAACTTAAGGAGGAGTTGAGTGTAGTTAAGGGTAGGATTTCTCTTACATCTGATTGTTGGACTTCAATTACTACTGATGGTTACATGTCTTTGACTGCCCATTTTGTTGATAATCAATGGAATTTGCAAAAAAAAATTCTGAACTTTCGTTTTTTGCCTCCACCTCACACCGGTGTCCATATGTCTGACCATGTCTATGATTTTCTTAAAGAGTGGGGTATCCAAAAGAAAATCATGTGTATTACTCTTGATAATGCTTCCTCTAATGATGTGTTTGCTGATGTAATTAAAAATGAACTTGATTTGGTATGTGGGGGGGATTATTTCCATGTGAGGTGTTGTGCACATATCCTAAATTTAATTGTGCAAGATGGGTTAAAAGAAATTAATGAGGCTGTTGTTAAGGTGAGAGAAAACTGTGAAGTATTGTAAAGGGTCTAAGGCTAGAAAGCAACGTTTTTTGACTTGTGTGGCACATGTTGAACTAGACTCAAGTAGAGGATTGAGACAAGATGTCCCTACTAGATGGAATTCAACTTATTTGATGTTAGAGAATGTTTTGTACTACAAAAAAGCTTTTCTTCATTTTCAAAAGGTTGATGCCAATTACATTCATTGTCCAACAAATGAGGAGTGGGGGAGAATAGAGAAGTTATTTAGATTTTTGAAGGTCTTTTTTGATGTGACAAATGTTTTTTCGGGTACTAATTATCCTACCGCTAATGTATACTTCCCAAATGTGTTGAAAATCCGTTTACTCTTGAAAGAGGAGCTTGAAAATTCTGATAACTTCATGCATAAGATGGCAGCAAGAATGAATGAGAAATTTGCTAAATATTGGACCAACTTTAGCATAATCATGGCTGTGGCTGTTGTTTTAGACCCTCGATTTAAGTATGAGTTTGTGGAGTGGGCTTTTAAGAAGGTGTATGGGGAAATAGAGGGTACTAATGAGTTGGTGAAGTTCAAGGAAAGGTTGGATTATTTATATGGTGTTTATGTGACTGAGGCTTCCACAACAACACCACGAACAAGGCGCCGTTCTTCTAGACAGCCTAATGAAGAGCAAGTTGATGTTGCTTCTGATTCTTTTATGATGGTAACTGTGAACACTTGCTTTTTGTTTGATAATCAGCTTTAAATTCTGTTTTTTGTATGCTTTATTGTAATTTTGTTTTAAACATCTTTTAGGACTTTGATAACTTCTCTTCTAGAAAATCATATGTTGCTGCTAAATCTGACTTGCAAATCTACTTGGAAGAGCCATTGATTCCTCGTGCAACCAACATTAATATTCTATATCATTGGAAAACAAATGTTGTGAGGTATCCAATTCTTTCAAAGATGGCAAGGGACATCCTTGCAATCCCTATTTCAACAGTAGCTTCAGAATCTGCCTTCAGTACTGGTGGTCGAGTTTTGGACTGCTATAGAAGCTCTTTGAAACCAAACACAGCAGAAGCTATCATTTGCCTCAAAGATTGGACTTTTGGTGAAGGTATGAAAATAGTTTATGTATTTAAAATTACAATTTTTTTTGTTTCTTTTTTGTACTATTTTATTTATGCTTAAGGCTGAAATTAACTTTTGTATGTATTCTTTTGGTTGTAGCTAATATGGATCCGCAATTGCAAGATTTATGTGGAAAAATCATGGCCATGAAAGTCAACGATGATGTGGGGGATACTCCCAGCCCCAGCCCTCCACAAAGTGCACCAGAAAGTCCTGCTGTCATGGAGAGTCAAACCTGATTATGTTGTTAATTTCTTCTAAAATTAGTTGATGAAACTGTTACTGTTATTTTGGACATGTATTTGGTTTTCTAGTTGAACTTTTATTTGCCTACTTGGAAGTATTTTGGACATGTAACTCTTGAATTATGTTGTTAAGTTATGTTTGCTTGAATTATGTGTTGAATTTGAAGTCTTGAATACTTGAATCTTACAGGTTAAAGAAATTAGTCAAATTACAGGTTAAAAAAATTACAGTATAAAGAAATTAGTAAATTACAGGTTTTTATTTTATTTTTTTTAATTAAAAAAAATCAGGTTTAGGCGGGTCGGGTTCAGGTCGACCCGTTTATAATCAGGTCGGGTTCAGGTTGGTTTTTTTGACCTGTTTAAGTAAACATGTCGGGTTCAGGTTGGGGGGTCCTGACCCGTTTATGTAAACAGGTCGACCTGAACCCGACCCGACCCGACCTGTTTGCCAGCCCTAGGATTTGTTGGTGGTAAGGGAAAGGGGGCTCTGGCAGAGAGGCAGGGGAAGGAAGAAGAAGATATTTTATTTTAATTCTTTAATATTTTAAAAAATCAATTAAAAAGTGACACGTGTCAAATTACCTTTTAAAATAGGTTAACAATTCAACACAACCGGTCATTAAATGAAAAAGGTTCATTTTCGGAAGATGGGGTTACAAGGTGGGATTATTTCTAGAATTCGAAAAGGTGGGATTATTTCTAGAATTCGAAAATGTGGGATTATTTTGAGCAGATGGGCGAAAGGTAGGATTATTATTTTCAACTTAATAGCTCAGGAGGTAGCCCAAATCCAAAAAAGCTTAAGGGGGGTATAAAGTAATTAAGTCTTGTTAAATGTCAATTCAATCTAAAAAGACCAAAAACATATTTTCACAAAAATAATTTGTAATCTGAAATTAATTTGTTACACCGTTACACGACCATAGACAAAAGCTAAATTATACATGCATGTTAAGTGTATAATTTAGAAACCTGTAGCTAACGAGTAATGACATGAAATATCTCTAGCTGATAGCAGCACCTTTGTCAAGGCATGTCTCCAAATTATAAGGCCGAGAATTGTCTTGAGTTCATTCAACTTTTCCTCTTATTCAGAAACTCTCGAAACTTGTTCCAGCGAACTTCCACCATGTCCAACATACTTTCAGCATAATTCTGTAATGCAAGCTTTGCGTTGACAGCTTTTTTGTGCTGCTCGTCCTCTGCCTTGTAATTGTTGGCTTCCTCTACCATCCGATCAATCTCTTCTTTGGATAACCTACCACTGTGATTTGCAATACTGATTTGTTTTTTGTTGTCAGTGCCTATATGCTGCGCTGACACAGTAAGGATACCATCATTGTCGATTTCAAAGCAAACATCAAATTTTTCTTGACCTTGCGGTGCTGGAGGGATATCGTACAGAGTAAATGTACCTAAGAAGTTGTTGTCTTCAGCGATAGGTCTCTCACCCTCGTATACACTAAATGGAACGGTTGTCTCACCATCATAAGCAGTGAAAAGAATAGTTGACATTTTCACTGGAATGGTAGAATTTCTCGGGATCACAATATTCATTTCACCATAATAAAGCCTAACCCCAAGGGACAAAGGAGTAACATCTACTAGTGTGAAGTCTTTATTGTTACGTACACCGCTCAAGATTGCAGCTTGAATTGCAGCACCATATGCAACGGCCTCATCCGGGTTAATGCTTTGGCAAAGTTCCTTCCCTTTGAAAAAATCTTTCAACAATTCTTGAACTTTTGGAATTCTAGTTGACCCACCAACAAGAACAACATCATCAACATCACCCTTTTTCATATTGGCGTCTTCCAAACATCTCTTAACAGGATTTATACAATTTTTAAACAAATCCAGGTTCAACTTTTCAAACTTGGCACGGGAGATGGTTGAATAAAAATCAATACCCTCGTAGAGACAATCTACATCAATACTAGTCTCAGTAGCTGATGAAAGCATCCTTTTAGCCCTCTCACAAGCATATCTCAACCTCCCAATAGCCCTGCGCTCCTGACTGATGTCCTTGTTATGTTTCCTCTTAAATTCAGACACAAAGTAGTCAACCATTCTACTATCAAAATCCTGACCACCTAAATGAGTGTCTCCGTTAACAGCTTTCACTTCATAAGCCTGTTTACTAATTCTGACCAAAGATACATCAAATGTCCCACCGCCAAGATCAAAAACTAACACGTTCTTAGCCATGTCTTTCCTATCATTGCTCATATCGTTTAGACCATAGGCAATGGCAGCAGCAGTTGGCTCATTGATAATGTGCATGACATTGAGTCCAGCAATGGTACTGGCAGCTTTTGTTGCCTGACGCTGGGAATCATTGAAATAAGCCGGGACAGTGATAAGCATTTTTCACTTCTGAGCCAAGGTAGGTCTCTGCAGTCTGTTTCATCTTCATTAGGACCATTGAAGAGATTTCCTCTGCAGAAAATTCCTTTTCTTCGCCCTTATAGGTGACTACAATAACAGGTTTGTCGTCTTCAGACGCAGAAATAACCTTAAAAGGCCAGAGTTTCATGTCATTCTGCACTATTTCATCAGTGAATCTTCTGCCAATAAGCCTCTTTGCATCTGTAGTTTATTCCAGTGGTTAAGAAAGCAATTATAAGAAATTGACAAATGTAATACAGCTATTGCATCAATTTGTTTCAAAATAATTGCAAAACTTTGACTAAATGTGAGAGCTCTTGTTGCAATTTTATGAAACGGAGAAGTATAAACTCTTTTAAAATAAAATAAAAAACATAACTACATAAGTAGTTAAATGTGCTTTAGGAGACATATAAGAGTTAAAGAGTATATCTAACCCATTGTCTCTTTACGACGATTGTTTCATTTTTTTTATATATAAAATAATTACATTCTAATAACACTTTGCAATAATCATCAATCCGTTGTCTTCCTTTACAATTTTTAAATACTTCAACTTTAATTCCCTACTTATCAATAACACTTATCAAGTGATATCACTTTTGAATACAATATCAGATTTTTAGAATGCTATCT